TTTGCAAATCACAACACCCAAAAGGAGAGAGAGAACAAAAGGGAATGCCCTGACACAGAGGCAGGGTGGGATGGGGGGAATGAGGGGTGGGAGGGATACTGGGACCCGTGGTGGTGGGAAATGGGCACTGGTGGAGGGATGGGTATTTGATCATTGTATAATTGAAACCCAAGCACAAAAATTTGTAAGTCTACAACTGTACCTCATGGTGTCTCACTAAAAAAAATTTAAAAAAATCTCTCATGGAGAATAAGAGGGAACGTTCCTGCCACAGAGGCAGGGGGTGGGAAAGGGTGTGTTGGGGGAGGGATACTGGGAAACATTGGTGGTAGAGAAGGGGCACTAGTGGAGGGATGGGTACTTGGACATTGTTTGACTGGAATGCAATCATGAACGTTTGTAAGTCTGTAACTGCATCTCATAAAAAAACTCTCATGATTTCACTCTGGGCACCTGTTTAATCAATCCTCAGCTGTAATTATTGTCTTCTATCCACTGACTTTAACTGGTGCCCTTGGGCCAGATGAGGGAGGTACTATTTTGTTTCTGGAGATAAAAACATCTATTTATTAAAAACAAAACAAAACAAACCCTTGGGTGTGGAGTCTGCCCCCCCCCCCCCCCCCCCCCCCCCGTGGCCTCACACCCCAGTGTCACTTCACTCAGGTGGATCCTGGCAGGTGTTGGTTACATCACTTACTGATGCAGTGACCCCAGAAACTGTGCTTTGGTGTTTCCTGACCTCCCTTCCTGTCCTTGAAATGTTCCTTTTGTTCCCCAGACCCAAACAAGCAGCTGTTTCAAGGACAAAGATGGGAGATAACAAAGACCGTCCAGATTGGCCATGAAACCGAGCCCTATTAAAAGCCCTGTTAAAAGCATAAACTTTTAAGATCCAGGCAGGCAGATGCGGGCTGTGCTGGTCTCGTCTGAGGCCAGCCCTGCACGGGCATTCCCTGGGCCGGCCTTGGACAGACCTTCTCCTGTTTATTAAAACCTCCCCCCGCCCACCCATCGCCGTGTTTGCGTCTTCCCTTCTCTATCAAATCAGTTTGCAATTTCACCCTGAAACAGCTCCTGTTTCATCCCCCCCCACCCCGACTCTCTCTTTCCTTCTCAAGGCTAACAGTTGCTAAGAAACCTCACTGAAACCCCAAAAGCCACCTGATGAGGGTGATTAGCAAACAACCACTAGCCAGGACTATGGCACAAATAATCAAATTTACTGGGCTCTTGGACAGCGGGTACAAGTCCTGACTTCCCTAATGAGAGGGCGCTGGCTGCTGCCCTTCCCGCCCGCTGGGACTGCAGGTGGGCATAATGAAGGCGAAAGAGCTTCTCCTTTCATTATGAAAAGTTCTAGAGCTGGAAGTAATAATAGCACCATCTTGCTCGCAGGAATCGCTGTCATTAAAAGCCGCATTTTTCATTTCAACCAACTTGCTTGGCCACATGGGGAGGGTTCCCGGGGACCGGGCAGTACCCGATGATGAATTTTCATCGTCACGGAGTTAGCCAAATGTTTCAGTGAAGACGTTGACCAATCTCCCTGCCACGGGTCCTGAAAGAAACACCTTCTCCATCACCTCTTCTGGACAGAGGTGGGTTCTGGAGAATCACACTTTCATGAGGAGTGATGATTCTTATTTACTGGCTTGATGGAGCCACAAGAAATAGACTTTCCCCTTTAATTTTTGGTGTTTGGGGCCATACCTGGCGGTGTTCAGGGGTTACTCCTGGCTCTGCATGCAGGAATTACTTCTGGTGGTGTGCAGGGCACCATAGAGGATGCTGGGGATGGAACCCGGGTGGTGCTTAGTGCATATAAACTGCAGCGCCCGGGTCAACATGTTGAAGAATAAACCGAACCAAGAACCTCCATCTTCGACAGTTTTCAAAAGCCTCGGGGAACCATCTGAGGGGGCGGGGTGCGAGGTGAGTGTGTGTGTGTGGGTGGGCGGGGATGAGCCCAGGTCAGGAGTCTGTTATGTTCCGCAGCCCTGAGCTGTCGCTGAGCTCTGTGCCTGCTTGCAGTGTCTGCTTCCTCTCGCACACAGGGGGCAGTCTCCGTTAATTAAAGCCAGAGCTTGTCTTGGAGAAACTGGCCGAGGAGAGAGCACAGGCAATATTTTACCGAGCCAGGCAGCACATCGCAAATGGACTTTTCTGTCCAGAATTTGTCTCTTGGCTTTCTTCTTTTTTAAAAAAGGAAAAAAATCGAAGGCTGCCTTCCATCTCGTAGCTGGCAGGAAGGCATCTGTCACCTGTTCTTCCTCCAGAATCATTTGGCTCTGGTGCCTGCTGGGAAGAGCCCCCGTCGGGGTCAGGGGTGGTGTGTGTGTGTGTGTGTGTGTGTGTGTGTGTGTGTGTATGTGTGGTGCAGTGGGGTGGGGTAGCGGGAAGCTGGTGGTCTGCGTCCAGCCCCGGTTTTCTCCTTGACTGCCCCCTGTGACTTTGGACTCAGCCCCTACTGTCTCTCTTGGACTTTACAAAGCAGGCAGCCCTTGGCAATGACGACCTTGGGTGGTGCTGAAATTGCCCATTCCATATTGCTGATGCCGTAAACCTCAAGGGCTTTGTCCCAAAATGTCCCTTTGCTTTCTTGAAGACAGGGACTGTCCATAAAAGATCTTTGTTCACGAAAACAGCCCGTCAACCCCGCTGGAGTGCTAACCAGCCCGGCATTCCGAATGCGGGGACTCCTCATTTCATGTCTGCCGGAGCGTTTACATTGCAGGGCTAGGAGAAAGACCAAAAGACCCAAGGCACAATATCACACAGGTGACAAAGAACCTAAAGCCTGTTTATTAATTTTTTTTGGCCTTTTGGGTTACACCTGGAGACGCTCGGGGCTTACTCCTGGCTCTGCACTCAGGAATCACTCCTGGCAAGCTTGGGAAACCATATGGGATGCCGGGGGTCGAACCGGGGAGGCTGTGGCAAGGCAAACGTCCTCCCTGCTGCACCATTGCCCTGGCCCTGGGAATATTTTAGAAAGGTGCCACCCCCCTGGATTGCATTCAGCCCCTGGAGCCACATTTCTGGGGTCTGACGCTGGCGGCACTTCTTTGCTGACCTACCTAGGCAGCCGGTTTAATTGCTTTGGGCCTCAGTCTCTCCCTCTGTTGTGTGGGCTGGTAAATGTGACCTCGTGGAGACTGTCAAATGAGAACAGACATGCAGTGGCTCAGCAAACAGTCCCCAACTGGCCACCGTCCCCCAGGCCTGCCTGGGACTGGATCGAGGAAGGGGACTGTTTTGGGAGGGAATTTTCAGTCATGGGCTGTGGGTCACCCTGACATGCACCGGCGGTAGGGGACACCCTGTTAGAGTGAATCTGATGGATTTGGGGACCAGCTCCAGCTGCCCTGCACTCCTAGGGCTCTGCCGGGCTCAGGGACCCTCGGGGGGTGCCCAGTTTGTATTTATTTATTTTTCCAGACGCTGTCCTCTCCCAGTTTTTGGAGACTCAAGGCAGCGCTCCCTCAAAGCGAGGGCACAGTTAAGACCCTTCGCTCTGCTCCTGAAAGTCCTAGAGTGCAGAGAGGCCACCCCCGTCCCCCACCGCGCAGCCCAGACTGCACCAATGAAGGGGTCTCCAGGATGTCACCGTCCCTGTGACCCAACAACTTCTGGGTTCTTTTGCAAATATCCCAAGACGCCCTTGTCTGCAGCCACACGGGAAAGGAGCACGATGGGAAAACAGCATTTCCCAGGGACTCGCGCACAGCCCACTGCAAAGTGTATACTTAGTTAATGCAATTAAAAAACAAAAACGCAGGGGCGGGTGGAGATCTAAATTTGGTGTAGCCGCCTTGGTACAAACCCTGTTTTGGGGGTTCCTGAAGTCAAATTCCAGCAGAGGCGAGGAAGAAGTGGGGGAAATGGGAGAGGGCCCCCGAGAAGGCTGGGTGCGACCAGCGGACGAGGAGACGAGGAGACCGGACAGACTGGGAAACGCGGCGAGGGGACGCGAGGCTGGAAGCCGGGGCCGGGGGCTGCCGTCCCGGGTGAGGATGAGAGGGGTGGGGGGTGTCGGGGACTCCGTGGGGACGCGGACCAGCCGGCGCCGAAGGCCGGCAGGGCGGGGAGGGTGGCTGGGGTGGGGAGGCCGGGCCTGGCAGTGCCCCGGGTCGGGCGCGGGGTCCGCCCTCCTGTGGAGCCCAGGGAACGCGCGACAGCCCCTAGAGAGGGGCGAAAAGTGGCGGGTCCCGGGATGCTGGCGCGCCCCACGGAAAGGACCTCGCGGGGCGCGGCCTAACCCGCTCGCCCCTCCCAGCGGCACTCGGCGCGTCTTCGGGTCGAGTTTGACCCCGAGCATCCTTCGCGGGGCCTGGTCAGTCTGGGTCCGGCTGGAGCGCTCTCCCCGAGGGGCGGGCCGGGCGGCCCCGCGCACCCAGAGGTGGGGAGTGGGTGCGCCGCGATCGCTCCGTTTCGGGACCCCGAGGGCCCGCCCCCGCTCCCGGCCGGCCCGCGCGGCGCACGCACCCCCGCCGGAGGCACGCGCCGAGCCGCGGGCGCGCGCGGGGGTCGGCGGGGGGCGCGGGCCGGGGGTCCCGCGGCGCGGCGGGGAGATCGGAGCGGCCGGGAGCCCGGCTCGGCGCGCCCCCACCCCGCTCGCGCCCGCCCGAGTCACCCCTCCCGGGCGCCCGCCCCCTCCGCCCGCGCCGCCTCTGCCCGCCCCTCCTCCCGCCCCTCCCCTGCCGCCCGCCCTTCATTCCACAAGTGTCGCTCGCTCGCTCCGGCGCGCGTGGCGAGCGGCTCCGGCGAGCGGCCGCGGAGAGGACGCGCGGGCACCGGCCCCGCCGGACCTGCCCCCGCGTGGCCCGCCGGGCCCGGCGCGCTCCTCCCCGGCGGGTGCGCGGCGCGCGGGAGGCGATCGCGGCCGGGCCGCCGACCCCCGGGCGCCCGCGCGGTCCCCCTGCATGTGCGGCCCGCGGGGCGCGCAGCCCCCGGCAGCGGCCTCGGCGGCGTCTCGAGCGGCGGCGGCGGCGGCGGCGGAGCCCGGGCCGGCGGGAGACACGATGCGCCGCGTCCTCCGGCTGCTGCTCGGCTGCTGCCTGGCCGAGCTGTGCGCCCGCGTGTGCCGGGCGCAGGAGCGGGCCGGGCACCCGGGGCACGGGCAGCTGGCGCAGCTGGGCGGCGTGGTGCTGCTGGCGGGGGGCAACCGCTCGGGGCCCGCCGCCGGGGAGGCCGGCGAGGGCGCGGGGGTCTCGGACGCGCCGCCCACGCGGGCGCCCACGCCGGACTCCTGCCGCGGCTACTTCGATGTCATGGGCCAGTGGGACCCGCCGTTCAACTGCAGCTCGGGCGACTTCGTCTTCTGCTGCGGGACTTGTGGCTTCCGCTTCTGCTGCACCTTCAAGAAGCGCCGGCTGAACCAGAGCACCTGCACGAACTACGACACGCCGCTCTGGCTCAACACCGGCAAGCCCCCCGCGCGCAAGGACGACCCCCTGCATGACCCCACCAAGGACAAGACCAACCTGATCGTCTACATCATCTGCGGGGTGGTGGCCGTCATGGTGCTGGTGGGCATCTTCACCAAGCTGGGGCTGGAGAAGGCGCACCGGCCCCAGAGGGAGCACATGTCCAGGTGGGTCGCCTCCCCCGCGCCCCCCGCTCCCCTCCCCCCGGGCCCCGCGCCCCCTTCGCCCACCCTCCGGCCTCCCCTCCCGGGCGGGCGGGCGCTCGGGAAGCCAACTCGGGCGGCGCGGAGAGCGCGCGGGGGGCGCGGGCCGAGCGCAGGTGCGGGGCTGGGCGCGCGCGCGCGCGCGGGGCGACCCCCGTCCCCCCGCGGCGCCCTCTCGCCTCGCGCCTCCCGCCCCGGATTCACGAGCACTCCCCGGGACGCGGCGTTCGGGCTGCGCCCGCGGTCCCGCAAGTCTTGGGTTTGGGGGAGGGGGCGGTCCAGTCGTGGGATCCCCGAGCCGAGCGTTTCGGTAAACAGGGGCCGGCGAGCCCCAGCGGGGAAGGGGGGCGTGTGTGAGCCCGCGCGCGCGCGCGCGCCTCTGTGTGTGTGTGCGTGTGTGTGTGCGCGCGTGTGTGTGTGTGTGTGCGCGCGCGCTTGCGTGTGTGTGTGTGTGTGTGTGTGTTGGGGGGGAGGGAGCGTGTGCCGCCTGCAACTCGTAACGACTCGCGAAAATGAGGCGAGGGAGGTGGCGAGGAGAGGAGGCGAGAACAAAAGCCTTGCCTGCAGCGGCCGCCTCGCTCCCCCCCCAGGGGGACCTGAGTGCACCCCCGCCCGGCCGTCCTCGTCCCTTTCGCGGGTCCCTTCCCCTTCCTGCGGCGGTGGCGGTGGTGGTGGGCGCAGTGGCATCCCTGGCGCGCGGCGCCCCCCGCCCCTTCCCGGCCCGGCGTTCGCGGGGACTCCAGAGCCCCCTTCCCACGCGCCTTCACCCCGCAGACACCCGATTCGTCAACTTTCCCGTTGGCTTTATCCATTATGCAAGTCCCCGCACGAGCCAGGAGCGGCAGATGGGAGAAGGCATTTGGGGGATTCATGGGGGCTATTTGCCTTTTGCTGTTTTTGTTTTTTTAAGCGTCCCAATCAATTCACACTACCCAGAAACTTTGGATGGCGAGGACGCGACCCCCTGCCTGCGCCCAGCCCTGGGGAGTGGGGGAGGTCGGGACCAGCGGGGCTCAGGCAGCCTGCGCGCTGCGGGAGCGCTGGTGGCGGTGGTCCCCGCTTTCTGAGGGTGGGCCCCCGTGTGGCCAGACAGGCCCCCTCCGCCCCCCTCACCCGCCACCTTCGCCGCGGGACTGTGCGCGCGCGCTCGTGTGTGCACACGCGTTCCGTGCGCCTGCCTGCAAAATCGGAACAAAGAGACCCACCAAAAATAGGCGAAGGAACAGCTCCACCTCACTAGTAATTATTTTCTCCTATTTATACGAGAGTATCCGATGACACCCCCTTCCCGCTTGCAGGGGAGAGATTTGGGGGGCATAGGAGAAGAAGTTCCTCTTGGTCAGGGTCAGCAGGGAGGTGCGGAGGGAACTGGACCCGGGGCTGGGGGGCAGAGGGAGGACTGGGGAAATTCTGACCTACTAATGGAGTCTGGCGCAGGCCCCGCCCACCTCCTGCCCCTCCCCCCAGCTGCCCAACTTGGAGGTGGGCGCCGGTATGCACTTCCTGGCAGCCTCTGGGGTCGTGGGGCTTAATGCTAAGGTGAGCGGGACTGCGGCAGAGACCCTGGACAGGAAGGTGGAACTCCTTCCCCAGTTGAAACCATCACGCAGACCTCTGCTTGCAAACTCCCCCCCCCCCGAAAAAAACAAAACACACACCCCAAAACGTCTCCCAAGACCGCTGTTGGGTGTGGGTGTGGGGTGCAGTGGGTGGGGAGGAGGGAGGCAGGGAGGTTTCCTGGAGCATCGACCTTCTGGGCACCTCCTGCAGGAGGAGAAGGTGGTGGCAGCCTTGGGCGCTCTCTGCCCTGGATTTCCCCGCCCAGGAGTCTCCTGGCCAGCCAGGGCTGAGAACAGATGCTCCATCCTGGGGCCTGGGCCCACCCTTGCAGATTTGCTGTGGAGGGTGTGGGGTGTGGTGGGGGGAAGAAGCACCCGGACTTGAGGGAGAGAGGTGTGGTCACATGCTTCTACGAGGATCAGGAAAGATTTGCTCAGAGAGCATCTCATCCTGAGGCTGGTGGGGCAGAGCCTCTTTCTGTTTCTGGAAATGACAGTGAAGTGGAAGCAAACCCTCCCCAAAGATTGGATGAGTTTTACTGGCACTTTCGAGGGCATGGCTGTGTACCCCACTGGCTGTGTGGAATGCCAGCTGGGCTGCTTTAGAAAAAAAAAAGTCTTTTGCCTGACTCCAAACCACTTGATTTACCTCAGAATTTCTCCAACGAGGTGATCTGGGCTTTACCACGTTCTGTTACTGCAGGAAAAGGCTTTACTTGTTGAGTAAGGATGTTAGTACCAGTGTGTGTGTGTGTGTGTGTGTGTGTGTGTGTGTAAACATTCTCTCATTTAGTCCTCAGAACTTGTGGTGAGTCAGCACCGTTTTAGCGCCTCTGACATAGGAGGAAAAATCGCCTTTCAGGTCGACTTGCCCAAGGTCACGCAAATAGAAAACAGGGTGACTCCCAGTCCCTGGGTTCCCCCCTCCCCGGGCAGTAGGATGCTAATGGAGTCAGCATCCCAGTTGGCCGAAGGGGGTAAGCTTCTTTACATGCACGTTGGTTGAGTTCTAGCCTCAGAGGTTGTGAATCTTTAGGTCCAGGATGGACCCCAGACATCTGCTGCCCGCTGATGGCCCCTTTAGATCTAGCCGCATTGGGAGAAGCACCAGCTTTGTGTCTGGTGTACAGTGGGGTGCAGGAATCTGGGTGACTCGCACTCCACGTCTGGCTTCCCCCATGGATAAAGCCCCTGTGTGTATTTCTTGGGGGGGGGGTGGGTTGCACCTGCTCCCGGCTGCCCATGTCCTGTCCAGCCCCAGGGTTTGCCAGCAGGGGTGAATAAGGGTTGCTTGGGCGGGGCTGGTCTCTCCAGTTTGGTCACCCAGAGGTGCCCAAGTGGCCTCCAGGTGGCCCCGGGCTCGGCTGGCCTCAGCCTCTTACTCTGTTCTGTTTTGTTTGGGGCTTCAAGGCTCACGGAGATGGGGGTTTTCCCTCATCCCGTCTGAAAGCACCAGCTCCTCCGGACTCTGCGCCCGCCTGTGGCAGCTTGCCGGCCACCCCCCGACGGCTCCGGTCATCCCACCTTGCTTCTGCGCACTCCCAGAAGAGGCCACCAGGATGCCAGGTTTCGGGCTCAGTCATGGCTTGTTCCCGCTTCCCGTCTCCTGGGCAGATTAGGACCGGAAACAGGAGACAGTCCTGGTGGGAGGTGTCCCCTGCATGTGACTCGGACAGCATGTGCCTGAGTGCACCCAGCCACTGTGTGCCACTGCGTGCCACTCCTGCCCATGGCAGGCAGGGCCGAGGCCAGCGAGGTGTTTCTGTGCTTCTTCCCCTGCGCGTCCTGTGTTCCTCCCCACTTCTTACTGTGGACCGACCACGAAACCCAGGGACCAAAGTGACCGACCTCCTGAGGACAATAAACCAACACCCGCATTCCCTTGCTCTGGGGCAGCTTCTTATCTGGGTCTCTGGCTGTTGGGGGCGGGGATGGGGATGGGCTGTGTCTAGTGGCCTGCTGGAGGCTTCGCAGCACCCTTGGCTTCTACTCACTAGGTGCCAGTAGGCACCCACCCCACACGGCAGTCGTGACAGTAACTGTGTTCCCAGGATCTGTCACATGTCAGGGGCCAGAGATAGCCCCAGCTGGGAACCCTCACAGATAGGGCGCAACATTGCCATTCCTTTCTTTCCTCCCTCCCTCCCTCCCTCCCTCCCTCCCTTCTTCCCTCCTTCCCTCCCTTCTTCCCTTCCTTTTTTCCCTCCTTCCCTCCTTCCCTCCTTCCTTCCTTCTTTCCTTCCTTCCTTCCTTCCTTCCTTCCTTCCTTCCTTCTTCCCTCCCTCCCTCCCTCTGTCCCTCCCTCCCTCCTTCCTTCCCTTCCTCCCTCCCTCCCTCCTTCCCTTCCTCCCTCCCTCCCTCCTTCCCTTCCTCCCTCCCTCCCTCCTTCCTTCCCTCCCTCCCTCCCTCCCTCCCTCCCTCCCTCCCTCTCTTCTTCCCTTCCTTTCTTCTCTCCTTCCCTCTTTCCTTCCTTCCCTCCTTCCCTCCTTCCTTCCTTCCTTCCTTCCTTCTTTCCTTCTTCCCTCCCTCTGTCCCTCCCTCCCTCCTTCCTCCCTCCCTCCCTCCCTTCCTCCCTTCTTCCTTTCGTTCCTCTCTTCCCTCTTCCTCCTTCCTTCCTTCCTTCCTTCCTTCCTTCCTTCCTTCCTTCTTCCCTTCCTCCGTCCCTCCCTCCCTCCTTCCTCCCTCCCTCCCTTCCTCCCTTCTTCCTTTCGTTCCTCTCTTCCCTCTTCCTCCTTCCTTCCTTCCTTCCTTCCTTCCTTCCTTCCTTCCTTTCTTCCTTCCTTCCTTCCTTTCTCCTTTCCCTCCTTCCTCCCTTCCCTCCTTCCCTCCTTCCTTCCTTCCTTCCTTCCTTCCTCCCTCCCTCCCTCCCTCCTTCCTTTCCTTCCTCTCTTCCCTCTCTTCCTTCATCCTTCCTTCCTTCCTTCCTTCCTTCCTTCCTTCCTTCCTTCCTTCCCCTCCCCACCCTTCTTTCTTCCTTCTTTTCCTCTTCTTCCTATTCTCTCTTCCTTTTCCCCCCTTTTTTGAGAACAATTCACAAACCTGACACCAGGTTCCTAAATTCCTCAGCGTGTATCTCCCAAAACACAATTCTAGAATCCTGCCCAATGGAGAGGTGAGGGCGGGGGAAAGAAAACAAATTCCCTATTCTCCTCAAATAACATCAAAAGTTTAATTTTACACCACGTTTGGGAGCTTGGTGTTTCAAAGCAGCAAGAGAAACTCGCCTTTGGATCCAACCCTCCCCGTCTCTGACCGTTAGGCTGCATGGCCTTGGAGCAGGAACGGGCAGTACCAGAACGGATTACTGCCTGATCAGATCCCCGAGAGATTCTGAGACAGCGTGAGGGGCGTGGCCAGGCCCTGGAGCCGCACTCAGACCAAGACCAGGACAAGTTCTGCCCCTGC